AACTAAACAGACCAACTGCCGCAGTTTACTTCGGAGGTGACAGCAAGGCAAACTCAGTATTCGTTTCAACGAACTTTATTTAATTCCATATTACACAAGTGGGATCTGAATCCCCAAACTTCCCATCATCAACATAATGGAGAAGCACCACTGCACAAAGGGAAGGCAGAATTTTGGAGCTGGGAGAAAGGCTAGATCAAGCCATTTCTCCCCATGTGGTCAGAAATTCTTCCTCCTTCACACAATGTGCTTCCCAGACCAGCAGGTTTACCCCAGGAATGAAGAGAGACAAAGCTAGCTCTAAACACTCCCTCCTCCTCTCCCCAACAAAAGAGGCTGCTCAATGCCAGTAGTGGAATGGTTAAAGATAGGGAGTACATTTGGTTTTCAGTCTCCCAACCAGCCCACTAGATTAAGAAGTGGCCTGGTTACTCCTTTTCTCCTGAAAACGATCCAGGAAAATCAAAGACCTAAAATGCTGAAAAACCTCCTTTCCTTCCCCCATCCCATAGCCTTGTTCTCTAAGCAGAGAGTAGGCAATGAACTCTGAGGAGGCTGAAGGAAAGCCAAGGAAAATCAGGGGCTACCTGAATCCCTAGGAATCTGGTGGCTACCCTGGTGCCCTCACTCATTTCCTTTGAGGTTCAGAGACCTGTTTGGAATAGTACACAGAGAGGGCCCCCCTTATGGATTTGGAAGCGACCAGGGATACAGAACACACAGGAACCACCATGAGGGTACACACCATTCCAGGGATGGCCCAAACCACAAACAGGGCAAGACTCCCCCCAACCAAGGCCCCAAGGGCTGGGGGAGCTGGGACGAGGCCCTGGCAGGGGGAAGAGAGCTCCTGCAGCAGTACTGAGGGCTCATGGGATTCTACTTCTTCTTCCTCTCCTGGGAACAGCGAGGGCAGAACCTGGTAGAAAGGGAAGTAAAAAGCCAGCATTTAGGCATGATAGAAACCTCGAACATACAGTCCCAAAGGACCTTTTCCAAGGTACCAGACAAAGCCATAATCCAAATTTTCCTTTTTAAGAGGTCTTCTAAGTGTGCATATACAGTGCTCTCCCTTCTGCCACCCAGGACCTCCCCGTTCGAAAGAACCAATTTGCCCTCCAGGTTGCTGGTTCACTCACCATTTTCCTCTTGGTTTTGTTGTCAGACCCACACAGGCAAAATGAAACCATTCAATGGAACACTGTTGGGATGGAGAGCAGTTAGTTAAAGAGCAGCTTTCTTTTCAAATCGTTGCTTCTGGGCTACCACAGCTTCCCAACAGTTGATCACAAGCTCCTAAAGCCCTAGCAGCGATCAGGAAACGAAGACTCACACTCAATCTATACATTGTTAGCAAGGAGAACTCCCCTCCTCCCTTGCTAACTGTGGGGGCAAGAAAACAACTTGTCATTTTAAGGAAAACCCTGGAGAAAGATGCACTTAACAGGTCTTAGCAAGCCAGCTCTCCGCCCTTCCAAACTACCTGAGGTAAGCCCTCTTCTTGTCACTGCCTGCTGTATCAGGCCCCACCCAAGCAGGACAAGGCTTCTCATGCAAGACTCTCCCCTCCCTTCTCCCCCATCTCCATCAAGTGCAGGCTCTTACATCCGGGTTGTCGCAGCCAATCATCTCCCCATAGGAGACCTGGTGGCAGAGGCAGTACGTAGGCTCATTGGGGTCCACGGGCATATCCAACACATCCGAAGGGTGCACATTTCCAAAGGTGACTGAAGGCATCCCATACTCTGTGCTACTGCAGGACAGGAATAAAGTAGGTCAGCAAAAGAACTGGCTTTGAGTCTACTCATGTCTCCCAACACAATGCCCTTTTTTTAAGCACATACACCCAACTCCACTGCTTTCCCCTTCATGCCACACTCCCCTGAAAGAATTAAGAGGTGTCCTTCCTCTTGCTTCCCACAAAGTGACCGGGGACACACCATGTAGTCTGGGTGGGGATCAGAGCCTTTGCAGGGAAGTCTGGCTAGGCCTCCCATGGTCCGACTTGTAGTGCTGCTCCTCATTCCCGCAAGTTTTTTAAACACTTACGTGCGGACAAGCTTCAGCTTCTTCTGGGCAGTTTTTGGTGCTTCCTCATCAGAATTCTTCCCTTTAGAGCGAGCACGGGCAGCCTTCTTCTCTTTTTGGGCTCGGCCCTCTGGTAAGAAGAGAAAAAGGTGTTGCATCTACCACCCCATCAAAATAGACACCTGATAGTAACAACCTCTCCAGCACTAAAACACACTCCTACTTTGGAGTGTATATCGGCTTTGGGCTATGCACCCCATCTCAATTTTATCTAGCAGCCTTGAATATGCTCACACAAGAAGAGCCCAGGTCACCATCTTTTTACCTGTCCTTCAGACTCCAGCGTAACAGTCTTTGATCTGTACCACTCCAGTGCCTGCCTTCATCCCCACCACTTCCATAGTCACTTGGCTGCCTCCTGTATCAATCTGCAGCCCAGTGGTGGTACTCACTCTTCTTGCCCTTGCTGGAAGAACTGTCATAGTCACTCGACTCTATCTGCTTCTCCTTCAGGTCTGCTTCAAAGCGAGCGAGGTCTGTGTCCAGCCGCCGGATGTGCTTATCAACCTGCAAAGACAACAGCGACCAGGAGTTACCACAGAACAGGGCCCAAGAGGGCAAAGAGGAGATGGCACAGGGCTGGCACCAAGAGCTGAGAAGCAAGAGTTGGGTAGGGCCCAAAAAGAGAGATCAGGGCCTTCCAAGATTGGGGGCTTTCATATAGCCTTTCACACGATAAGCACTAGACACTTCCCTTCATACCATCTCGTAGGTCTGCATAGCCAGCTGAACCTTGTCGTCTCCAAACTCCTTGCATTTCCCATAGGCCTCCTGGATTTGCTTGAGAAGCCCCAGTTTTTCCTCTGAAGACAAAGTCCGTGCATTGCTGATATACTCCGTGGCCAACTTATCAATCTCTGACTTGAGGTCTGAAACAAGTTTACCATTAAATACATAAACCCACATACATACACTACACCGTCCTCCATTAAGAGAGACTGAAGGATCAGAGCAGCTGTAGGCCTCCTCCCTGCCCTGAGATCCCCATGATAAAGGCAAAGGAAAGAAAAGATGCACACTTCCTGCATCGTCAACAAAACCATCTCTAATCCTCACCTTCCGTCCTCTGATCCAGATCTCGCATGAGCTGGAAGTTTCTCTGCAATTCAAACGGCAGGTTCTCAATACCTGCAAGAAAAGGAAATATACGGAGAAGTCAGGTTCCCGTCCGCGATGCCAAGGCAGGAACAAAGCTAACTGATAATAACACATCCACCACTTCAGCGATTCTCAACACCCTTCCCTGGTGCACATTAGCATGCTTCCATTTGTTGTCAACTCCAAAGGAGACAGACTGTAAAAGCACGATATATTTAATCCAGGAGCATAGCTCTGTAATACATACTAGTTAAGAGAAAACTGATGCCACGCAGAAGGGCCTACGTTAAGAAAGCAGAAAACCAAAATTTGTAATGAAGTCAGTCATTATAATACAATGTATCCATACAAGAACTCCATTCAGTAACCAAAAAAATAGTACAACGGCTAGTAAATAATGCCATTTAATTATTCTATACAAGGATGTAAAAATTAAAGTTGATCAAATGCCAATTCACTGAAAAGCGAGTCCATTTCAGTGCATCCATTTTACGTATAGGGGACAGGAGACACTGTGCAGAGCCAAACAGCAAGTCTCAGACAGGATGGGGAGCAGTGAACAGCAGTTTTAACCCTCTGTCACGCGTTCCTTGTTCTGCCTTCTGCACTGTAATCCCAGTGTGGTCTGTCCAACACCTGGAATGATGCTAATACATCGTGAATAATAAACGTTCGTAGGGGTCTGAATGAGCGATGTGAAGTTCATAGTCAATTAATTTTCAATGCACTATGCTACTCACCCCCCTAGGCATCACCAGATGCTCCACTGACAAAGCTGTTAAAAACAATTCTCATTTTTCCATGTCTGTCTAATCAAACCGAGATCTAGTGTCACTGCATTAACCTGAAGTCCAAGCTTGATTATTGTCACCTTTATACCTAATAAAAAAAAAAACCCAACTCTTCAGAAACAAAATGTAAGCACGTCTGCTTCCTGAACCCACTCTACAACACATAGGGAGTGTAAATAAAGGTGTATGTACCCATCATCAAAACTGTCTAATACATCAGCCCTGGCAGCAGTCTCTGTTTTCACTGCCACATGTCTGTACTGCAGAGACATTTCCCTGAAAAGCAATCAGCTGGCACGGAAGGTCTATAAGCAAGAGGCAGGTTTTAACAAGTACTATACACAGGCCACAAAATTACTTCCTATAAGAGGTAAAACCAATCTTGGGCCTCACTGTGCTCAGAAGCACTTCCTTTAACTTATTTTTTTGCACAAACAGAATATAGCAAGTTACATACAGAATCAAGCTATTGCTTCAACAGATTTCTGTTGCCATTTCTAATTTAAATATCTGAGAAACGCTCAGACAGTAGGTGTCCTTTAGTACCCAGATACAGAATCACACAGCATGTACACATCGCACCCCCACATTCAAGGACAGTTAACAGTGCAAAATCAAATTCTCAAAAAAATTAGTAAGTGGCAAAATTAAGGCTGTCTGCACATTCCTAAACTTGTTCCTTCCACGTTTGTCCAGCATGACACAAAAGGCTCAACCTGCCGACTATCAGATTACAATCCCTATGGCTCAAAAAAGCATCTCAGAAGACAACAGGGAGACAATACTGAAAATTACCATTGCTTACAAAGGGAACTTATGGCAGGGATGAAATCCAGCTTGGGAATCTCAAAACTATGCCTTTTTCCTTCCTGCAACCCTCAGCCTCGTCAACTCCAAACCTTTCCATTTATATAGCAAATGGAACGTGGGTCATACTGCAGCACACTGCTTTTGATCCCTCTCCAAAGCATCCCCTGCAGAAGACAAGACAGGTATCCTCTAGAGGGAAACGGTATCTGTTCTTGCACTGCGCACAGGGTGTCAAATTTACACCGAGTTTATCAATCCTGGAAGATTGTGACTTCTCAATTCTCGACTTTGCAGTTTTTAAAAAAGATTAATGTAATTTCTTTTTCCTTCTAAAATGGGAAGTCTTTAAAAGCACAAATTCCACCGGCTACAGTCAGTTTTCCCTCAGCAGGGCTAGAAACCTTTAGATAGAGCGAGCACCTGAGCTAGCACAAAAATCAGTCGGATGCTACTCTCTGGGCAGAACAACCCCACATGAGGTTACAGCCGTGTTTCACAGTGATGTTCTCGCAGCAGGAGAAACTCAGGCAGGAGTTTGCTTCTGCTACAGAACCTGAAAGGGACTGTGCTCTAGTTTTTACAGCCGTTACCATAAAAGTCTGCCAGCACCACTAAAGCCAGTGCGTGCCCTTGTCTGGAAAGCCTCCGTCTTCCCTTTACCTCTACGTGCTTGATCTCACCTTTCCAGCCCGTGCCATCTATCCTCCAGAGACCCTCTTTTCCCAGCGCCTCCCCCACTCACTGCCAGCCCCTCAGCCAGGCCCAGTGCTCCCCTGCCTTGTTACCTGCCTCCACACGGGCAGAGCTCTCTGCTCCTGGCCACCCTCGGCAGTGCAGAGAGGGGCGTGACCCAGCTCTGGCTCTGGCCTAGCAGATGCTCAGCATAGGCACCGTTGGCAGATCGTTTACCAGTCAAGCACACAGGAGCAATGAATTTCCAGAGGCTCATTAGCTGGGCAGGTTTCCATGGGGACTGACGAGACAAACCCCTGCCATTTGAATTCCTTCCCTGCTAAAGCCAGCAAAATGATTTCCTAAAACCCCAGCCAAATGTTTCACTCTGCAAATGTATTATTGGACCAATGTTCTGTAATCGCTTCATCAATAAATCAGGAGAAAAATGAAACAAGTGACAGTACAGTGACTTTATAATCAGAACTGTTATAAAGATGCTTTATCTATTCTACTGGAAGTGGAAGGAAGCGGAGTACACCATTACAAACTATGATCCAGAGAGAGCTTGGCAAGAACAAAAAGAATAACAAGATAAAGCTGCAGCAATCAAGTTGTAACTGAGCAACAAACTATTTGTATGGTATATAGTTTAACTATGAGGAAGTTATCTACTCTCTGCAGCTTAATTCAAAAGCTCTCATCTACCCTTAAGAAAAAAAAAAAAAAAAAAAAAAAGCAATGCCCTGCATCACAGAATTTATCACAGTTGTCAGAACACTTGCTGAAACTGCTTGACCCGTGCCGTGCTGGCTATCAGACATCACCACCCTAACAATCCCATTAAAAAAAAATAAAATCTAAGATTCATTCCTACTATTGCAACACACTTTCCCTCTTTCTAAAAACATTTATGTTATGTATGTAATTTTTATTTCCTCCTTTTTCCTTTACAATTATTTTGCTTTCTTTTTATTGCAAGATGCACCTAAACTTTTCATAGCTAAACACTATCTATTGTAAAATACCCAAATAATTCTCACGTTCCGAAATGGATCATAGTAAAGAAAAAACCACTACAGGCAGCCTTGATCAGTAGAGAAGAGGGCAGTGAAGGGCAGTGACTGCCCCAGATAAGCAACAATCTGACACAAAAATAAAGAGAAGCGAGGTCCTCTTTCAACACAAATGGCATAGCAGCAAGAGAGGAAGAGGAGGATGGTGAAGACGTGCGGTGAAGGTGCCAGCAAGGCCAGCAGCTTGGCCCAAAGCGTGGGCTGGCATTAACGCAACTGTGTCCATCTGCACAGATCCACAGAGAGCGACGTGCAGCCCCACGGCACCCCGCTCATTCCTGTCACGGTATGATTACTCTGAAAATCATTGGTGCAGGTCTCCCACTGAGTTTTTCCCACCTCTTCCTTTTCTTACCTTGTTTTCATTTCCTACCACAAGTTAAAAGTCTCTCTACCTTCCTTTGTCTTTCCTTTCCTCAATTCTTATCCCTTTGCTACTCCCATTCTTCATTAATTTTTTTTTTATTCTCCTCTTCCCTTGTCATTCCTGCCCCCATTAATTCCTCTGCAGGCATCCATAACTGCGCCGTCTTGTCCCGTAAGAACCACACACTCCCGCCCTCCAAAAGTCAGAACCCGTCAACACCCTCCTTCCCCTCCAGTTATTATTTATTTATTTCTTCTCAGAAACACATGTGGGGTATCAAGCGTAGGCGATATTTACACTCCAGCTACTTAAGTCCAGTGTTAACTCTGACATACACAGAGATCAAGCCGACACGACCTGGTAACTTCCACTATGCTTCAGTCCTCTGTATCACATCTTTTAACTATGCCAAACAATGGGTTTGTACCGTTACAACGTCCAAATTCCCACACGAAGATCCACTGCACCAAGCACTACATAAATATACGGTGCCTTTCCTGAGCCATCTGTTCACCCATCATGTTCAGACACATGTTTAAATTTATTAAAAAAAGTGAAAATACATTTTGAAACATAACCACGGTTGCTTTATTGAACAGTACAAATTTCAGCGAACATTTTAACCACCACATTGCTGAAGGTAATTTAAAAAATCCTGCTTGTGCCAGGGGCTGCTACAATGACAGGTAAGTTCTTTGCTGTCTGAGATAGGAAATTGGCCAGGATGTTGTGGGGGAAGTATATAGGACTTTTCGGTACTCCATGATTCTCATAATTTTGTAGCATTTGAAGTACACTGCAGGACAACTGGCTTACAGCAAATCTTCAGGAGCTTCCTTGCTTCCTCGTTAGGGGGAAGGATGTCTTTTATATCCCTCCATCCCTCCTTTTAGAGGGTTCAACCCTTTTAAACCGCTGCTTCTACTCTGTCCCGTGTTCTCAGCTGATTAGTTATCTTCCTACGCAGTTTATTGGAATTGGTGTATGAGCATAACGTATACCTTTCTCTCTATTCATATATGGCTCAGACCCACTGCAATATACACATCCTAACCCATAACATTATCCTCAGAACAGCTCTATAAGGGATAATACCACCTGCATTTTTACAAATGGGGTACTCGAGTGCATCGCAGACTGACTTAGCCACAGGTACCCAGGAATTCTGTGGCCATGTCACATAGCCCAAGCTCTGGCATAGTGCACTGCACACTAGTCCACTCAGGCACATCCACTTCAGGCACTGTCCAAAGAAACAGATATCAGCCAGCAAAAACTGTTAATGTAACAGCCACAGAAGCTCCCAAG